GCACCAGGGCGCACATAGCAATGTGCGCCCCGCGCCTCCCAAAATTACGTCATTTTGTATTCTGTTATAAAATTCTATGTTTTCAGGTATAAAATTCTGTACATTCGAAATAAGAGATTTTTATCCTTTTAAAAGAGATTGTGTTTTCAGGTATAAAATTCTGTGTTTTCAAGTATAAAATTCTGTGTTTTCTATTATATAATTCTGTACATTTGAAACATGGGAACTTTCAGTTATAAAATTCTGTGTTTTCAGGTATAAAATTCTGTGTTTTCTATTATATAATTCTATACATTCGAAACATGGGGATTTTTAGTTATAAAAATTCTATGTTTTCAGATATAAAACTTTGTGTTTTCTATTATACAATTCTGTACATTCAAAACATGAAATTTTTTAAGGGATTAACAGTATACATGCAAAAAAATGTACAATACGACGTCGTTTTGGGGCAAGATGCACAATGCATTGTGCTCCTTGGTGCACGGTATAATTTGCCGCTACCCAGGCAACACTGACCCAAAACTCACTCCGGTGTTCTTCGCTGTAGTATTACTCTTTTTAACCCCTCTACCATTTTTCCAACATTTTTTTTTCAAAAACAAATTTGACATGACTAACCCCTCCATCTGCCGGCAAATTATTGTGTGGACCATGGTCTACAAAATGTTATGTGAACCATAACAAAAAGTACATTTTTAATATATTCAATGTATATTATTTTTGTACTGAATGTACATTATATAATATAATGTATACTCGATATAAAATAATGTACATCTCCTGAATACAATCTACATTATTTTGAATTGAATGTACATTATTTTTGTATTAAATATACATGATTTTACAGTATACAAAATATTATCCACATAATTTGTATATATCATGATCCACACAACAATGATTGTCATTTGCTACATGGCATATAAGGGCTTTTTATTTTATTTTTTTCCTTGGAACTTGGGTGCGGTCCAAATGATCACTGGATTGGGGGGGGGGGGGGGTATTACAGGTGATAAGCCCGATATTTCTTCAACATGGACAGCTGGGCGATTGGAAAATCATAGATTTGAAATGCAGCTCAAAGATTGGGTTTTTGAATTGGGCCGTATCCAGGGGACAAGCCCAATGTATTACATGTCAATCGTGGCAAATTATGCTGTGCATCCGTATGCACCATGCATGGTGCATACAGATGTAAAAACGACGTCGTTTTAATAAAACGCGCGTCTTCCCTTAAAAAAAAAAATCAGGTTCGATTCCCAGCAACACTATATGAACTAAAATTCCATAATCGATGAACTATAATTCCATAATCTAATCTATGAACTAAAAATTCCAGAATGAATGAACTAAAATTCCATAATCTATAAACTAAAATTTTAGAATCGATGAACTACAATTCCATAATCGATGAACTATAATTCCATAATCAATGAACTATAATTCCATAATCTATGAACTAAAATTCCAGAATGAATGAACAATATAATGTTGTTGCTGGGAAGCGAACCTGAATTTTTTTTTTAAAGGGGAGACGCGCGTTTTTTAATAAAACGACGTCGTTTTGGCATCCGTATGCACCATGGATGCACAACATAACGATTGGTCAATCGTTATGCTGTGCAACTGTGTGCACCATGCAAAACGACGCCGTTTCATTAAAAAAAAATCTCGTTCTGATTGTCGTTAACGGCGTTAGGAGGTTTCCTTTCGTATTCAAACAGTAGGATATATGCATAATTTCATAACTATATATCCAGAATTACATAACTATATATTCATAATTTGACAACAGTACATTCATAATTTCATATCCTTATATTCATAATTTCACAACTAGACATTCATAATTATATAACTCCACAATTTCAAAACTATATATCCATAACTTCATAACTATATATCCATACCTTCATAACTATATATCCATAACTTCATAACTATATATCCATACCTTCATAACTATATATCCATAATTTCATAACTATATATACAGACTTGCATAACTATATATTCATAATTACATGTCGATTGAAGTTTTTGTAAAAAAAAAAATAATAATTATTTGATTGGTGGAGTTAAACGGTGCCACTAATGGCACCGTTACTCCATCATAGTAAAACGGTGTCGTTTTGCAACCGTGTGTACCATGCATGGTGCACACGGTTGCACAGCATAATTTGCGGTTGACTCTGTGTACAAGGAATCTATTTTCACACTTCTGCGCACAAAGGATCCATCTCCACACTTTCGTCAACTCTAGCTCATGTCACTGGAGTGGTGACTTTAGGTCAGGTGGTTTACAACTTGAGCTAGCCTCCGCATGACCAAAAAAAAAAACTAATTTTTGTTATTCAATTCTTTTGTTTAGAGTTATTACATTTATCAATATTTAATTAAATATAACTCGACCCACCTTAAACTAAACAATAAAAATATTAATTCCACCCAGTCATATCTCAATATAAATAATTTTTTTCTTCAATTTATTTAGTTCATATCTATTATATTTATCAATTTATATATTTATTTTTTATTATAATATGTTACAAGTTTAAAAATATTTATTTCCATTTTTTATTATAATAATTAATATTTATAACTATTATAAATTTTACGGAGCAATTTATATGTTTGTTTTTAATATAAATAATAATAATTATCAATTATCATCATTATAAATAATTAATACTTTATAAAGAAAAATAACTTTGTAATAAAGTTGATGTTAAAAAAAAAAAAAAGAATCAATTAGAAAAAAAGTGTAATATTCTTATTTTAGCCAAAAAAAAAAAAATTTACTTTATGACTTTTAGTCATACACAAAAAAAAAATCAAAAAATAATTAATTTTCTAAAAGCATTTTTCATGTTTTCAAACCTACATTTCAAATTTAATTTTGTTTCAGTAATCTCTTTATTCACCAATCATATATTAACAAATCGGTGCTTCTTGTCTTGGACCAATTTTGTCGGATTTCCCTCAACAAAAATCGAAATTACAATCATCCCATGTGCTTACCTAAGAAACCAAATTAGCACTCTAATGATTGATTAAGCTTGCATGCATGATTGATTCATGGCTATTAATTAATGCAACGTTGTTCAACCAACTAATAATTAATATTCCCTATTAGTTAACGTTACTAATAGTATCAATATTCTACTACTCCAAGTAACTAGCTGAGTTGTTAATTTACACCTTCAAGTAATAATTTACATCACATTTTCACTATAATTTTTTTCTGTAATCTACTAATTTGCAAACCAAAAGCACCATTCCACTATCGAGAACTAAAAAATAGATGTATCAATGATTAACCATTGTATTTATTACATCTGTATAATTGAACGATATATAGCGTGTCATTTTTTCTCAATGAGAAAATGACACTTTTTTTCCTTAAATTAAACAAAATTATACTTTGGTCTCTGAATTATGAAATCACAATTTTTTTTTTTTTGTCTTTTAATCATTTGCAAAATTACATTTTTTGTTCATCAATTGTTGTGATGTGAGTTTTTTTTTTGTCCTGAATTTTATTAAGTTTGTGTTTAAAAAAAGCCCCCACAAAACCCCAATGTATAGGCAATTGAGCGGAGTAAAAAGTTACTTATTAGACAATTGAGAATTGAAGAACAAAAAGAAATGTTTTAAAAAAATTTTTTTTGTATATAATTTAATAATAAAAATGTCATTTTCGTGGTCTTAATTAAAAATTGGTGAGAAGGGTAAAAGTGGAAATAAAAGGAAATTCCAGATCATAATTGGTGGCAGTGTGAGTAAATACAGCGAAGAACAGGGTGTGAGTGAGAAATGGGAAAGCGGAGGGGGGGCTTGACGGCGTGAAATTGTTGAACCAGCGAAGCCACGTGAGTAGGCCAAGCCCAAACGGTGAAGTTTATACCGTTAACTCCCTCTTCAGCATCCAATGGCCAATTGTACTTATTGCTTTCAAGCGACAAACAAAATGGATCTCTTACAGATCACCATCCACCTTGGGCCCCACCTTCAATACTGCCACCTTTCAATGGACCCCTTGCCAGCTGTCACCCTATCTCCCTTTTCTTCTCCCTATTATGTCCCTCACCCTAGTTGGAATGAACGAATTAAGGAAAAAATGAATTGTAATTTCGTAAAAAATAAAATAAAATAAAAATTACATTATATTGTTTAGTAAGAATTGAAATAAAATAACTAAAATGTTTTTACTAAAAATTTATATTATATTGTTTAGTTATATATACACTCAACATGTGGGCGGTAGTCTCTTTCTTTCTTTTTTTTTTTTTTTTTTTTTTTTTTTTTAATTATCAGGTGACGTTGAAATTTCGAACCCATAACCCTTGTCAGGGCTCTAATACCAAATTAAAACATGTGCTCCATCTCAACTAAAAGTCTAAGCTGATAGTTGGATTGCACATTAATGGTTATATACTCAATAATAATAATAATAATAATAATAATAATAATAATAATAATAATCAAGGGTAATGTTATAATATATATATATATATATATATATATATATATATATATATATATATATATATATTCCCTTTCCGTCCACCATCGAATTGAAATTCATAGGAGAATCCTATGAATTTTAATTCCACAAATGAAGAAAATTGCAATTTCTTTTAATCAAATAATGTAATTGTGTTTCACAAAGAATTAGGTTGTAGCAGTCTACCAAATATATTGTGATATATCATTTGAATGGTATTATTGAATGGTCCGGACATCATTTTATTAGGTGTTATGGTCTAAAATGATTGACATTTTATATACATAATAAATTTAATTCGAAGGGTACGGTCACAATAAAAATGAATATTGTTGCTGGCAAGCAAAGATCATTCTTAATTTATGGAAAAAAGATTAATTAGGAGAACAATACAGCGCAAGTTGGGAGCAGACAGACAGTTGGCATAATCGTGAATTGCACATATTAATTTGCATTTGGTCATTTGGAGTGGCGATTTTTGTAAGTATTGCTGAGTAGGATAGCGGGCCCACTCACACATCATAAAACCAAGCCAGCTGCCAGTATGGTAACGACCCAACAATCAAAGAAACATCAGAGAGAGAGCTGAGGATTGAACCGCCATTGTTACGTTGTTGTAAGCTATCTACCCACAGGAACAGTGCATATATACATAGTTTCTTTCAGTTTTCTGATCTGATCATCATCCATAGCGAAGATGAACTACTGGAAAGATAAGGTTCTCCCTAAGATCAAGAAGGTTTTCGACAAGAACGGCCCCAAGAAGGCTGCTGCTGCTGAGGCTTGCAAGGCTTTCGATGACTCCAAGGTATCTATCTTTCTAGCTATATACTAAGATTAATTAGTGTTTTGTTTTGATTTGGTTTGGTTTTTGATGATGATGATGATGAATACAGGAGCAGTATGGGAAGGAGTTTGAAGACAAGAAGACTGAACTTCAACCCAAAGTTATCGAAGTCTATGAAGCTTGCTCCGCTGAGATAAAGGTCACCACTTTTTCCTTAATCCATACAAAAACAACTGTTTTTCCTTTGAAGAACAAGAAAGATTTATTCTTTGCTGACAAATATAATCTTTCGCTGTAAAAAAAAACAGGGTTTGGTAAAAGAGCCAAAGGACTCCGGGCTGAAGAAGCACTCAGCTGCTGTTCAGAAGCTCCTGGATGAGCTTGTCAAGATCGGTAATACTTCCTTTATTACTGCTCTAATTAAACTGTTCTTACCCTATAGTAGGTTATATCAGAGTACTGTTATTATAATACTCAGTATAGGATAAGTGAGTTACTCATATTTATAAATATATTAGCCATGCCTGCATAAAAGCAGTTTATTGACCTTTTTTAATTTGAACTGATCAGTTAGGAATAATCTAGACTGATTTAAGTTGATTTCTTTTATGAGCTAATATTACAAGGTTATAGATTCATACCGGGCATATATTCGTATTGCGAATTTTTCTAGTCATTCAATAATGGGTAATAATAATAACTAGCTTGAATATATAATAATTATTGTATGTGACATGGTGGTGAAGATTTTCCGGGATCAAAGGCGGTGAGCGAGGCATGTACGAAGTTGGGGCCGGCGTACGTGTCGGGACCGGTTTTATTCATATTTGAGAAAGTGTCCGTGCTGATCCCGGTGGAGGAGAAGAAGGAGGAGGAGGCGGCGCCGGCGCCGGCGGAGGCGAAGGAAGAAACAAGCAGGGAAGTTGAGGTGAAAGCGGAGGAGATAGCAGCGGCCGCTGAGGAAGAACCAAAGGCGGCTGAAGCTCCACCGGCGGCTAAGGCTGCTCCGGCTACAGAAACACCCGCCGCCGCCGTCGCCGCCGCCGAACCACCGAAGGCGGAAGAGAAACCAGAACCCGCCGCCGAGCCACCCAAAGCTTGATCGTTGCAACAGGTGAATATAGTCATCAAACTGTTAATTTGCTCCGGGAAGGGACTTTTGTGCAAAAAAAGAAAAAAGAAAAAAAGATTCAATTTGTGTTGTGAGAAGACAAAACATTGTACTCTGTTAATTATTATTCTTTATATTTATTCGTGATTATATATATGTATAATATAAATTCTATTTCTCCTTTGGTACTTGAATTCTTCCCTTGTGTACTATAATGCTTCATCAAATTATTATTTTGTACAAATCCCTTTAAATTAAGATTATGGTTCATAAACTCTATTTCCAATTGTTTTATATATTTGTATATGTAACTTTTTTGTTTTCCTTTTAAATATATGACACATAAAAAAAAACTTGTACTAATAATTCTAATAAAATGAACTCAAATTTGAATATCTCTAGACATCATAATCGCATTCATAATACCCCGTAACATTTTTTCATCTACAGATAGATACTTCATTCACTAACAAATGAGAAGCTGTTTTTCATTTTAAAAAAAATTAAATATATTCGATCAGTGAAACAAATTTAAAATTCAATTAGTTTTACTGACATTTTCAGTGAGATTTAAATTCATGATTTTTAGTTATGAAATTTCTTTTAAGTTCATTTGACGAAGGTCTTATCAATATTAAGAAGTTGGTGTTATCAAACTACTAATAAAACAAAATATACACTGCATTATGAATCAAAATTCAGATCATAGGGGGTATTAGATTTGGATTTTGTGCAACATACTATGTAATTTGTATTAGTCTCTAAAGGTTGATTTAAAATATTGTAATATTTGATTTAATTTACAGGTAGGAAAGTTACATTTTAAGGTTGTCAATAATGAGGTTGTCCCTTCCCCCACCCTTAAGAAAGTGTCTTAGTTTTCACTAGGATGGTAAAAAAATTCTATATTTTCATTCTTGCGGGTATTATTAATTCGCGGACAGAGAGTTTTCACTTGGCCTATTTAGTTAGTTAATTTATTTTGAAAAATTAAAATAAATTTAAAGGAATATATCTCACCTAATTGTCTTCTAACTTAAAAGTACTACTAAACATTTAATAATTAATTCATATCACTAAAATAGGCATTCTATGTATCCAAATAAATAAATAAAAAAAAAAAAGAAATTAAAGAGAGAGACATGAGTAGGAATTACATAATAACCACACACTAAATTTAAAATAAATAAATAAACACACACACACATATATATATATATATATATATATATATATATATAATCGTGGACACGGTGGGGCAGTGTGTGCTCTCCACACCCATGTCCCAGTCCTCATCGGCGGGGATTTTAAAATCCCCTTAGCTTCATCCTTGTCCTGTTTCCTCGAATTTCATCCCATCCTTATCCCTGACGCGATGGAAATCGGATTCCCCATCAGGAATGAGACAAATTAACATTCTTATTTCTACTTATGGTCCGTTTGGAAAACAGGAAAATGACTTATGAAAAATAATTTTTTAAAAATGAGTCATTTTTTAGAAAACATTTTGCTTTCCCGTGTTTGGCCGCACAGCATGCAGAAAACTGTTTTTGTGTGTTTGGTTCATTTTCCAGAAAATGAGTAGAATTGTATATTTAAACATTTTAATTGTTATATACCCAAAAATACATTTTTATTGTTTTGTTTAGAATATAACAACTTTTATTTAAAATGCAATGCAACATAAGTTTTGGCTGTATTCAATGGTGGTGGTGTGTGGTGGTAAAGTAAGAGTAATCAAAGAATTGATGATAACAAAATTCACCTAGTTATTATAAACATAAGAGACGAGTATGGTAAAAAAAAAAAAAAAAAAAAAAAAAAAAAAAAAGATCAGAACAGACGAATTTGACTTCACAAGAAAGTTTGATAACTCATGTGAGCACAATGAAACAATGAGCAACTTAGAACATGAAAATATTGAACATTTTTAACACACGGCTGACATATGAGATGTAAAAAATATTGGAATAAAAAAAATTTAGGCTGTTGAAATTTTTAAATAATCATAACTGCAATTTCTGTCATAAAAAAAATCAAAATGCTTTTTCTATTTGAAAATATTACATTTCGATGTTTTGTACATCAATTTTTTTTTTTTTATTTTTTTTGAAATTTTAATGTTGACGAATTTACTTACATATCTAATGGTACATCTCCAACTTAATTTCGTAGGCTTGTGTTCATTAATGTCATGTTGGTATGTCGGAAGTGGATGTTAGAAAATTGAGGAATATAATTAATTTTTTTTTCTTGGGTGATTAGGAAAACTTTATCCCAAAAAGTTAAATCTCCAATTCTAACAGAGCATTTGGGAGGAGATAGGGACATAGGGTCAAATGCATCTTGATCACTTTGAATATAATTCCTACACTTTCGCTGTTGAGATTTGAACCTTGGTCTCTTATCTCAAATACTGACTACTAAACCAATGAATTAAGTCCGTGCGAGCAAATTGTATTTACTATCGGAGGGTATGCATTGAGTCAACCATTCTCTTGTGTATGACCCTTCAACCCACACAGAAAGGTAAATCGCACTATGAAGACCATGTGCAACGGGCTCAATCAAGTGAGTATTTAATTTTTTAGAATTGAACTCGTGACCCCAGATACGAAAATCATGCATCACTCATCTGACCACTCCTTTTGGGAGGGATTATTTTTGTTTTTTTTTGTTTTTTTGTTTTTTTTTGTTTTTTTTTTTTTTTGTTTTTTTTTTTTTGTTTTTTTTAGTAATGCATGTTTGCGTGTGTATATCACAAGTTATTACAAAAATAAGATGATATGATGAAGCTTGATGTTTGATAGCAACACCTTATAAACTTACATATCATGCATGCTTTTACTTGCAAAAAACATTGGATGGATCCAATATAATATTTGATGTTTGGTGTTATTTAAAAAGTACGTACATCATTATCCATAGTTACTTGTCCACCCTAATCACTAGCTAGAGGTTTATCCAATCTAGCTAAAATCTTTTGAAAATTCAATTCAAAGACTAACATTTGTTTAAGAATCATTGGGGCAGTGATATAATAAGTTTAGATCAGAATCTTCATTTCTTTTAGTAGTTATCATCATATCATTTTATAATGATTTTTTTTAAAAATTAAATACCATTATATGTGTTTGTGTGTCTATATATATATATATATATATATATATATATATATATATATATATATATTCGGAGTTTTCACTTACTATCCATCTATCTATATCAATTAATCACGAATTTAAGTTTTAATTATCATTTTAAAAGTAAGTCAAATTAATTTTACTTTTAGAAACAATATCAATAATCAATAAAATAAACTCTCTAAGTTAACAGAATAGTGCAATTGGGTCCATACCTGAAAAAAAAAAAAAAAAAAAAAAAAAAACTCCACCTAATAACCCCTTAAACTAGTTATGTTATACGTCTGCATGTTTTAAAACAATATAATGACAAGCATCGTTTTGTTGTAGTCTAGATTTGATCCTGTGAAACGAACGCGGTCGTAATTGCCTTCATTGCAGACAATAGTTATGGTTATCTAGCTTCCTTATTGACGTTAGTTGTGGTTATCTAATATGAGGGATGACCTCTTAATATCTTAGAAGATTATTGGCGATGGTCTTAAAGAAATCCCTATCCTAAGCATAAAAAGTTCACATGACAACCAAATCAACAGTTATCTACTAATCATGTAAAATTAATTAGGATTTTAAAAATTCAATTCACACATATAAAATTAGGATAAAGTATAATGTTAAGTTAATTTTTTTTAAATATAATATATTATATAATAACAAGAGAAATTGTTATTACTCTCTAAGAAGTTCTCCATCATGCAAAATTGTTATAAAATTAAAGAAGGTGAGAATGGTCATATATAAAATAAAAAGGCAAATCAAACCAAACAAGATTTCCCACACGCAAGAATTAATGATCTAAGCACTTGACAAATCACATATTCCACAAACATAGCTTCCTAATGGTCCAAGTTGGTGCAACTGAGGAAACAACTAATCAATTTTAATTTGCAATAAATAATCCCCATAGCAAAAAAAAGGGTTAATTTCCTTAACTAACAGAATGTTTAATTTACGAAAATCGAAACAAATATTAAATTGTTTAATACACTTTTTTTTTAAAATTATTATTATTATTATTATTATTATTATTATTATTATTATTATTATTATTATTATTATTATTATTATTATTATTATTATTATTATTATTATTATTATTTTATATAAAAAAAATGTTTTGCAGGCCAAGAATGGCCTACTAATATCTGAAATTGGTAGCTTGCTGGGAGAAGGATGTTATATCAGCTGTCCACTAGTCGCAATCGGTACAACTCATCCAACTATACAAAATGCAAACAACAAATTAAACAATAAAGATTTCCGATCCAATTCAAATCTCAATACCAATTTACCAAATACAATGAAAGCACCACACAATCATAATGGGCTCAACGCAAAAGAATCTTTCGTCTCTACTCGAGAGTGTATACTGGACTCTTGACCTTCTAATATGAGAATCATGCTTTAATCTCTCGGTTATCCCTTTCGGGACTATTCATTATTATTTTTTCCTAATGTAATAATAAGAGAAATTTTATGCTTGTTAAACTCAATTTTTTTTAAAAAAAAATTATTTACTCTAAAAATTATATATAGTTTAACAATATTTAAAGCGGAAAAATAATTTTAAAATTTAATAAAAGGAAAAAAAAAATTGAAAGAAAAACTCTTGTAGTATACATGTTCAAACTGAACTAAATAATCATGGTGGGGATGATTGGATGAATAGAGGGGGCCGGAGTAGGTACCCATGCATATCTCCAACATTTTGAAAGTTACACATACATACATATAAATAGATTAGGTCATACACTAAAAAGTAAAAAAGAAAAATAAAAGTTTTAAAAGTTAAAGAAAACTACAAGAGGACTAAAAATTTTATGGTCGAACGCATAATTGTGGTTCTTTCGATCATATAGAAGGTCACAAATTCAAATTCTAGTGAGAGCATTGACTCGTTTCAGTACTATAATGTAACAGAAACGACTAAGTGATCAGATTGTTGATCTGATAACCAGAACGTTACAAGTTCGACTTGGTTTGAAGTGTACACAAAAGGTTGACAGCCTACAGCCAATTCAGAAGGTTTGGGACTGGGTGTATACATATAACGAGCAAAGGACCCTTGAATTAAATGCAGTATTGTTAGTAAGTTGAAAGACATGCATATGGTGAGTGGTAGGGGACGTGCCAAGGGGGCTCCAGCTGTGTCCGACCATGTGGTGTGTCGGGGAGTTCCGGTCGGACGGAATTGAAAGTTGAAACCCACTCTCATCTCTTTCTGGATTACAATTCATTATATTATATTATTATATTCTCAACAGCCCCAAGAACAAAACATTCTTTTTTCTGTGTGCTGCAAACCAAAGTGGTTATGGTGTGTGGTGCACACGGATGCAAAAACGATGTCGTTTTGACGTCGATTTAAAAAAAAAAAAAATTCAGAATTGCATAACTATACATCCATAATTGCGTAACTATACATCCAGAATTGCATAATTACACATCCATAACTTCATTACTATACATCTAGATTTGCATAACTACACATCCATAACTTCATAACTATAATTCCAGAATTGTATAACTCATAACTATACATTCAGAATTGCATAACTACACATCCATAATTTCATAACTATAAATCCAGAATTACATAACTATACATCCACAATTTCATAACTATACATTTAGAAATTATACACAACATGATGTTGCTAACGGGAATCGAAACTGATTTCTTTTTTTAAATTAAATACACATTTTTAATCAAAACGACGTCATTTTTGCATCTGTATGCCGAACATAATTTGCTCTGCAAACGACGAGCCGATAACTAAAAAACAACAGTTTGACGGTGTTTGGTTGGGCCAACACCTCAGAGGAAAGAAAGGTAAAGGAAACAAAAGAGGTTGGCCCGTCTTTTAACTTGGACTTCTGTCTTATAATGGACCAGTACTGTGCTTAACTGCTTATAGTCCTCAGAAGGCCCAATATAGTGTTGCTCAATAGTTGTCGCAAATTATGCCATGGAATCGTGTTAACCGAGAATGGTGAACACAAGGCAAAACGACGTTGTTTTTAGGCCAAAAAAAAATATTTCACGGATGTGGAGCTAACGGCGCGCGTTTGATCAAATTATGAATTTTCTGTTATGAGATTATGAATTTTATGAAAATTCATAATCTCATAACAGAAAATTCATAATCGCATAACAGAAAATTCATAATCTCACAACTGAAAATTCATAATCTCATAACAGAAAATTCATAATCTTATAACAGAAAATTCATAATCTCATGGTTCCAAAGTGAATGTGTAGGCATGGTTCCAAAGTGAATGTGCAGGCATGAATTCATAATTTATGAATGTCCGTGATTTCGGACGGGAATATGTAGGCATGGTTCCAAAGTGAATGTGCAGGCATGAATTCATAATTTATGAATGTCCGAAATTATGAATGTAATGAAAATTCATAATCTCATAACAGAAAATTCATAATCGCATAACAGAAAATTCATAATCTCATAACTGAAAATTCATAATCTCATAACAGAAAATTCATAATCTTATAACAGAAAATTCATAATCTCATGGTTCCAAAGTGAATGTGTAGGCATGGTTCCAAAGTGAATGTGCAGCCATGGATTCATAATTTATGAATGTCCGTGATTTCGGACGGGAATGTGTAGGCATGGTTCCAAAGTGAATGTGCAGGCATGAATTCATAATTTATGAATGTCCGAAATCTTTGTTCACCTCAAATTAAAGTGAAACCGCAAAATGTGAAAATAAAGAAGAAAAGTCACGCAATTAAAAATAAAAAAAAAGAAAAAAAAGAAAAAAAAAAAAAAAGAAAAGAAAGATAACGGTGTATTAACACCGTTAGAACCGTGTTCACCATGAATGGTGAACACGGTTCCATGGCATAACGTCTGAATAGTTGTGCCATGGACCTGCCCGGGTCAAAATACACAATTTATATACTGAATGTTCACAATTCAATTTCTGAACATTCAGTATGTAAATTGTGAACACTTAGTATATAAAATTGTGAATGTTCAATATGTAAATTGTGAATATTCAGTATGTAAATTGTGAACATTTAGTAATTAGTATATAAAAATTGTGAATATTCAATATATAAACTGTGTATTTTTTAGTACAGGTCCACAGAATAATTTGCCAGTGTTGCTAGGTTTAGAAGGCAAATTATACCATGGACCACGGTTTACATTAATCTAAAACAACATTCAGATTATGTAGCTGCAGACTATTGTTAGCATATTATTTATGCTCAGTTAATTGATTATGTACTTATAAATAAATTGAAGGTATATAATAGGTAGTAATTGTAGATAAATAATAGGTTAACTGCAGGTACATAATATGTAAACCGCAGGTACATAATATATTAATTTAGTAGTTGTAACAAGTACATAATTATTAACTAAGGTCTAAAACACATAATATGTTAACTGTAGTAGATGCATAATTTATTAACCGAATGTAAATAACATGTTTACTGCGAGTACATAATTTAAATGTTATTTTGGACCAGCAGGGTCCAGAATGCAAGGTGAACTCTGATCAATGATATAATAATTGCGTTTACAAGGCAGTTTTAGATGATTAACACCAATATACTTGGGTAATTGATCTTTTATTGTGGGTGACTAAGGAAACCACAGCCACTGCCAAAAGGAGTAATTGACTATTTCTAATACTATAGAGAAATGTATAATTATTATAGTCATCATTTTTATACATATTATCCATACCCTCACACTGCACCAAACTAATCCAACAGTACAAAAGCCACAACAGATGAGATCAAAATCTGGGAGTTGATTAATTGAAAGATGAAGATTAAACAAGACTAATTAAAAAGAGTGGTTTGTATTAACAAAGTGATCATTGAATGTGGAAGGTATTGGGCTGTTTGGATTGGGCAAGCATTTGGACAACCTCCCTCATGGTTGGCCTCTCCACACTCTGCTCTTCCACACACAACATTGCTACAAACAACACTTGCATGGCTTCTTCAATTGGAACATTATTCTTTAGCCTCTCATCTATGATCCTCACAACCCCTTCTTTGCTGCGTTTTGTCTGCACTTTTACCCACTGAACAATGTCCATCCCTTCCTCCCCGAAATTCCCCACCGGTTTTCGCCCCGTTATCAGCTCCAGCAGCACCACTCCGAAGCTGTACACATCGCTCTTCTCGTCCACTTTCAGTGTGTACGCATATTCTGCATTAATTTCATGTTAAGTTAAATAACAATAAGATAAACTCACTGCTGGAAATTATGAAATTTCCAACCACCTGAAAGTGATCTTAAATCAAGTCGAAAGCCTTCTTCCGACCACTTTTAGTGTCCGGAAAAACCTTTGTTGCTATTTCCGACCACTTTTTGCTTTCAACTTGATTTAAGATCACTTTCAGGTGGTCGGAAATTTCATAATTTCCAGCAGTGACTTACTTAATGCTGTTATATAATATATAAACATAAACGTGCAATCCAACTATCAGCTTAAATTTTTACCTGGAGCAATGTAGCCATAAGAGCCGGCGATTGCAGACATGCATTCTGAGGCTCCATTGTTGTGAAAGAACTTGGCTAGTCCAAAATCTGCGACATGGGCTTCATAATCAGAATCAAGCAAGATGTTGTTGGACTTGACGTCGCGGTGGATGATGAGAGGGGAGCAATCATGGTGCAAATAAGACAAGCCTTTTGCAGCTTCAATGGCGATTTTCAGCCTGGTTTCCCAGTTCAGGTACCCGCCGCTTTTTCCATGGAGGACTTGGCCTAAGCTCCCATTAGGCATGTACTCGTAAACCAGCAAATTGGTTTCCTTGTTTGAACAGAACGCCAGCAGCCTCACAATGTACCTGTGTCGAATCTTCCCCAACGTTTGAACCTCTGCAGACAGGCCATTGTCGTTTGAGCCTTTGCTGATTCCCAGGTTTTTCACTGCCACATTGTGTCCATTTGGCATTGTTCCTTTGTACACCACCCCGGCCCCTCCCCTCCCAATGATATTGCTGTCCTTTAAGCATCCCAACACGTCTTCGCTCCCGAAATCCAGTTTCTGGAAGGCTGTCAGCTTCCAGGACCTGGAATTTTTTCGAACCTCCCTTGTCTTGATCACTGCGAAGACGACAAAAACCAGGGAGCATAGCAGAAGCCCCATCGCGAATATCAGCTTGTATCTTGCAGGGACATTGGATTTGCTGCTTTGGGTTTTGACCTGGGATTGTAAATCAGATGAAGAGTTGCAGGGGATTAGGTAGGAGGCGCAGAGATAAGGGTTGCCGGTGAAGGAAGTGGAGTTGAAGAATAAGAACTGCCCGGTTTCAGGGACAGAGCCAGTGAAGTTATTGTGGGAGAAATCTGCAGAAGTTAGGCTCTTCATGGAGCCAATCTCTTCAGGTAAGCTCTGGTTCAAGTGGTTCCAGGAAACATTGAAGTAATTTAGGATTCGAATTCGGGCTAGTTGGATGGGGATAGGACCTGAGAGCTGATTCTGGCTCAAATCCAGGTAAGTGAGGGAAGGGCAATTGCTGATATCTGATGGAATGGTGCCGGAGAAGTTGTTTCTGCTCATATCCAGCTTTAAGATTCCCTTCAGGTAGCCTATTTCAGAAGGAATTTGGCCGGAGAATCTGTTCCCACTTAGCACAAGATTCTTCAAACCCGAAAAGTTTCCAATACTGGTTGGGAGATCGCCAGACAAGTGATTATTCGCAAGATTCAGGCCTTCCAGCTTGGAAGATGCTGTGCTTTTCTCAAAGGCAATTCTTCCTGTGAAGTGATTGTCCTGTAATTCAACCAGTGTAAGCTTTGGGAGGTAGAGGAATCCATCCGGTATCGGTCCACTCAGGTAGTTCTGCCCCATCCTGACTCTGGATAAAGTCTCACACTTTCCAAGATCATCAGGCAAAGGCCCAAACAAGAAATTGTCAAGCAGAATCAAGATTTCCAGTTTTTCCCCATAGCAGAGGGATTTTGGTATCTGGCCAGTGAGTTTATTGGTGGAGAGATCGAGCTTGATGAGCTCACCGTTCTGCCCGAGCTTTGGAGGGATGAAGCCAGTGAAGTTATTCCTCCAAAGATTCAAAGCCTCCAACTTGGGCAACTCTGCAATGGACTCAGGGATTTGGCCATGGAGCTTGTTGATGAAAAGGTTCAAGATGGTGAGTTGTTTGAGTGCCGAGAATTCAACCGGGATCTCCCCGGTGAGTGCATTGTTGGAGATATCCAGGGACTTCAAGCTACCCAGATTTCCCAGCTGGGGAGGAATTGAGCCATTAAGCTGATTGGTTTGCAGGAAAAGAGTGTCCAAATTCTTCAGGTTTCCCAGTGTTCCTGGAATTGGACCTTCCAGGCCACAGCTAGAAAGATCCAAATGAACCAAATTGGAAAGCCTACCAAAATCCCCTGGAATTCCCCCATCAAACCTATTGTAATACCCAAGCTGAAGCCATTTTAGGCTGCTTAAATTCCCCAGCTCCCCAGGTATGAACCCGAACAAATCGTTCCCTGCCAGGGACAGAAACCTGAGCTGATTTAGCCCTCCATAGCCCCGAGGGATCCTCCCCGAAAAATAATTCCCCCCGAAATCCAAATGCCTGAGCTTGGTGAGCTTAGTAACCCCAACCGGAAGCGGGCACGAGAAGTTGTTGTCATAAGCATCCAGAACTTGAAGCTCCGGCAGACCGGAGAAATCCCAGTCCAGACATCCACTGAACAGGTTGTTTGATATGTTGAGGAATCTGAGACCAGAAATGTTTGATAGTGGGAGATCCCCAAACAGGCTGTTCCCTGCCACCGACAAATTCACCAAACTCTGAAGCTCAGATATGGCAGGCGACAGAGGACCAGAGAGGTTCAAGTTGGAAACATCTAACGAAACTACTGATTTGTTGTACGCGTCGCATGTCACGCCTGTCCAATTACATAGTCCCATGTAATTCGAGAGATTCCAGGTAGACAGACTAGGATCCGGGGCTTGAAAACTCTGTTTTACAGAAACCAGAACCGCAGCTTGTCTTCTTGCAGAAAGACTGTCATGGGCTGAGGTGAGAAAAACAAGAAAGAAGAAGAAGAAGAGTAGGCGCAGAGTGAGAGCAGCCATGTGGAAGATGAAAACTGAGAAAGAAAATGGGTTTTTGGTATCAGAAATATTGAAGAAGAAGAAGAAGAAGAAGAAAAGAAGCAGGTTTTTCTGGGTTGATGAAGTAGAATTGGTGCATTGATGAGGTTATCTGATGATAATAGCAGAAGAATTAGAAGCAAGAATGGTGGTGGAAAGCTAAGGCCTTGGATGCTGTTGATTTGTTGCTTTGCCTTTTCCATATTATTTCTAGTTTCTTTCCCATTTGTGCATTTTGGATTCATCATCTTTAACTTTATCAATGGAAAAAAGCAAAAGCAAAGTTAACATGCATACGCATAAAGATCATATCCATCCAGGACCCCAACCAGTTCACTCACCATTCCTCCCTCCCTCCCTCCTCAAATTACTCATTTACCCATCAATTAAAACTATCCATCACACTGCTGGCTCGGCAACCACAAGGTTCTAAGTTCAACTTCCACTGCTGGAAATTATGGAATTTCCGACCACCTGAAAGTGATCTTAAATCAAGTCGAAAGCAAAAAGTGGTCGAAAATAGCAACAATGGTTTTTTCGGATACCAAAAATGGTCGGAACAAGAGTTTCGACTTGAGGGAATAATTTCCAGTAGTGTTCCAGTGAGTTTGAACCAATATGGGCAACGTAAACATAGGTCGGTTTACCTCCTTGATTTGAATCAGTCAATTATAGACAGCCTAAACTGGTTTAGGGTCTACCTAATGTACAACTTCGGGTAAAAGCTAAAAAGACTATTTATAAAAAGAAAAGATCTCTGGTCTTACATTGTGGGAGTATATGACTAGACGATTATCTTTTTTCGTCGCGTTTACTATTTAAAAGTTACTAAATTAACTATGTGAGGACAGAAGCTTTAAGTGATAGTGGCAAGTATAGTATGTAGATATAGGAATAGTAAGTGATGTGTATTATATCTTTCACTGTGATTCTCCTTAGCTTTATTCTTTTAAAGCTGGGGACAGATGCCTTGGTTCGACCATCTTTGCTTTCTTTTTATGTTTGCATGAAAATAAGAAGCATTTGGGGAGCCAGCCCATCTCACTTTAGACCACTTCAAACAAAAGCAAAAGGTGCATGCCCACATTTTTTCTTTTAAATAATAAAAATAATATATAAGAGAGAAATGATTAAATGGAATAATAGGGGATGTTGAGGAATGTACTTGTGTATATTTTAATGAAGACAGGCGGCTGAGGATAAAGCAAAGCAATCGATTAAGGCTATGACTGTGGGATTCTTAATCTAATTAAAATGTTATAATCATATATTAATTAATATAAATTTTGATTTTGCAAGGCATATCATACAGCTTTTTCTTCTGTTATTTGTTTAATTAAGGTAGGAAAATACCTAAAAAGAAGTGAGGTATTCCACTAGTTTGCAGCATTTTGATTCCTTACTTTGCTGGGTGGTGATTCAAAGATCAGCATTGTTGCTTTTTTGAGCGTCAGATATTCAGAATTCGAGCTTTTGAACATAGCCCAGCAGATTTATTTATTTTGTAAATATGAGGGGAATATAAAGTATCCATCATATATATCTTTAAGTATACAAAGTTTAAAACCTAGGTGGCTATGTCGTCCCTTGAATTATAAATTTGTTGGAAAACATATAATGTAATTAACCTCTTCAGGTTAACATCACAGTCCCTCGAAATTCAACGATAATGCCACAACTCGAGTTCGAGTAAGCTACAAATAGGTGATTTAGGCCCTATTGGTAAAAAATTGGCCTATATTTTGACTTATTTGACCACTATTAATTATTTGATTTAGTTAAAATATCAATATAAATGTTTGGTTAATTAGCTTTTTGCAACTCCAAAAGGCTAAAATTCAAAATGCTACTCTAAGCAACTTTTTCAATTAGCTTTTTGAAAAAAGAAATTATACTAAACAGCTATCAGCTATCAGCTATCAGCTAATTTACCAAACATTTTTCTACAATCAGCTAATGTTATCAACTATTTATACCCTCTAATTAACACAATCAGCTAACAACTAACAGCTATCAGCTAACAGCCATTTTACCAAACAGGGCCTTAGACTTGTTTCAAACGTACTTAGAATGAAGGTTGGCCTGGTTGATCTGCATCAATTTTGTCTTATATTAATTAACATGGTAGATGCGTGGTTTTTGTTGTAACTTCCTTAAATTTGAACTTAGTCCATCTTATATTAACCTGGTAAATGCACAAGCTAGGTTTATTGTAACTTATTTTGATCTTTGAATACCGACAAATTTTTCTAAAATTCCAACTTAAATCCCCTTAAATAATACTCCATATCTTTTATTGGCTAGAAACAACCAAAGTTTATAAATATCACTTTCATGCATTGTAATAAGGGTTGAAACTCTATTGAAATCAATACACATATGGTCTTTACCAACATGAGTGACCAAAGGCTTGTCTTCTTTACATTACTCTGCTCATACAATAAGAGTATATGGAAAATGGTTGATTAGTCTTTTTTTGGTTGATTTGACCATGCCAAACAACTAAACTTAATATTTGGTAAAAAAATTTAACTAGTAATAGGAAGTGATTGGCACCAATGCGTTAATATTGCTACTTCAAGTAACGTTTCATAAAAGTCAAGATCAAAATATGACAATTATTTATCTAGAACTAACTAATATGATAAAATCACTAAAATCGAGTACTAACCATGGTATTAGATTTTATAAAAGTTGAGTACAGTATTGGCTATGTGCATGATAGTATGATACTATGATGTATTTTTTTATTTTTTTATTTGCAAAAAAGCTCACAACTATTATGGGAAAGTGTGCTTTAGGTAAAGTTCACCTTGTAATTGTAGCTGACAAAGGATCACAATGAGGCAAACCAACCTAGGTTATTTATAGCTGATAAGCTCGATCAAACCAAGAAATTTAATTCAGAGGATCAAATCCCGATGATAGGGTATTGACTCTTTATTCAGTAACAGTTAACAAAAGTATAAAACAAATACTACCTTATAATAGAGTCGATATTAATTGTCTGGTTAACTCGGTTGGGTTGTCTAGTATGATGCATATTTGTTAAGACTAAATCAAACTTGTATCATAGTTGATGATAATGGAAATAGATGTTGGGTGAGATCGAGTAGACTGAGTCGTCGCAAGCAGGGAGATTGTCGCAATATTTGCTTACTATGTCGTTGACGGATGGATGATGATGATCCAGCAGCATTATTATTAGTTTTAACGTATGATTGACATGACATCTTCACCCCTGGCCTCTTCTCCCTTTTGATTTTCTCCTGGCCCACCAGTTCCTAAAGAAGAGAACACGCTCATATGTACAACGTTATTTCTTTTTATCTTTAACGAAAGAAAATTTCATTTTACAACGTAATCTTTGAAGGTCATATCAAGGTATGTAAACTCAATTCTTTATGCAATTTGGTAACATTAGATATCCTCGTAACATTATCAAAAAAAAAAAAAAAAAAAAAGATATCCGCGTAACCATGTACTCAAAATAATTGGAGAGCTTTTAAATCAGAATTGGGGGTGTTTCATCAGATATTTTTATAAAAAATGTACTAATATGTATATGGATTGGTTACAATATTTCATATCCATCTCTTTGAAACTCGCCTACAACCATTTTCATGTCATTTCTTAATAAATAAAAAGTTTTTAGAAAATTGTTTTTTTTTTTAAATATTATTAACTCTATTAGAATGTAGTATATGTTCATAATTAAGAATCAAGATGCTTGAACCCACAACCCTTCCTTGATAGAGTTCAACTTGGTTTCAAACTACCAATTGGACTACAAGGTGCTTGGCTTAAAGTTGTTTCTTAATAATTAATTAAAAATTTAAAATCGCATTTTGGAAAACACGTTTTTGGTTCAATTCTTTTAAAGGGTCAAAACTCAAAATCTGAAAAACTAAAATAAAAGATTTCCATGTTATTATGCATGTCTTCCCAGATATCGATCAACTGTTTCCTAGTTCTTTCCCGATCCCTTTTTTTTTTTTTTTTTTTTTTTTTTTTTTTTTTCACTTTTTTGTGGTCTCTTTTAACTCTTAAGATGAATCCGATTGGCAGTAACAATGACACATAATGTCGTATTGACATCTGAAAACACAGATAATTTGCTAACCTATATATTTAAATAAACTTTGCTTTCAAAAAAAAAATATATATTTAAATAAACTTTAGTTGGAGTCTATCTAGCTATAAATAAATAAAAATAATAAAGGCACAAGTGTCAAATAGACCTATCTACTACTGCGAAATGCTCAATTCTCACCAAGAACTAAATTAAGTGTCAAATAGGCCCATCTACTAACTAAATTTGTTCAATTAAAAAAAAAAAAAAAAAGATAATAGCCACCGGCTGTCCTCGCCGAACAGCCGGTGGCTATTATTTTTTTTTTAAAATTAATTATTTTATTTATTTATTTATTTATTAATAATTAATAAATATGTAACCTGTAAAAAAAGTTAATTGAACAAATTTAGCGGGTAAATGGGCCTATTTGACACTTAATTTAGTTCGTGATGGGAATTGAGCACTTCGCAGTAGTAAATGAGCCTATTTGACACTTGTGCCAATAATAAATTATATAAAGATCATTTTCCGGCCCTTCAATATATTTTTGGGGTCTTCCTTAAGATGAATCCGATTGGGCTCGTTTGGTTCGTGGAAAATATTTTATGGGAAGTAGAATTGAAATTCCATGGAAAAACAATTACTAAGAAGATGAATTTCATTGTTTGGTTGGTGGAAAAAGAATTACTGAGAATACTAATTCTATTGTTTGGTTAGATTTGGAATTGTAAGGAATAACGAGTATAAAGACCTATATGCCCCTACAAATTAATAAAAGTAATATAATTAAAAAAAGGAAACAATAGTAAAATAGGCATTCCATCTCACTTTTTCGGAAAAATGAATTCCATGAACCAAACACAAGAAAACAACATTTTCCTCCACTTTAAGGAAAATGTTTTCCATGAACCAAACATACTAGGGTTTGTTTGGGAACATGGAAAATGTTTTTCCTAAAAATAAATTATTTTCTAAATTATTATTATTATTATTATTATTGTTGTTGTTGTTGTTGTTGTTGTTGTTGTTTTTGACCGACACAAAACAATTATTTTCTGTTTGGATGAGAAATTAGAAAATTTTTATTTTTTCTATTTGGTTCATTTTTAAAGCTGATTGGGTATCACCATTAACGAATGGCGATTTGGGCCCGGGTTAAAGGAGAAGAATACAAGAGTGGG